GCTTAAACTGAGCAGGTTTTGGGGGTTTTTATTTGCAAAGGGTAAAATTCTTCAAAGGTTTGTTAGGTTTACCGCTTTCAAACTATGGCCAAAAGGCTGCTGGCAAGTGCCCCCCCCCCCCCCCCCCCCCCCCCCGGGGTCACGGAGTTTGCATTTTATTTCCAAATTTTTCTACCCGTCCCTCTTGAGCAACAGATGACCCGTTTCTGAGCCAGCAGGCGCCCAGAGGGGCGGGAATTCTCCTAAACGCGTCCCTCTGTCATCATCTCCCCCGTGTGTAACGTTGTGGTTGTGGGGTTTTGTGCAGAGGAGCCAGTGTTGCCAATATGGGGGGGGGGGGAAGGGAGGGGAGGGGGCCCCTTTGGAAGAAGCCCCTGCTCTTTCACCACTGGGACTTCCTCTCTAGGATTTGGGCTTGGGAAAGGCCACTAAAGAACCTTCGTAACCGAGCACAAACCTCAGGCGGTCCTCGAGTTACAGGCATTTGTTTAGTGAACGTTCAAAGTCACAGCAGCAGCAGCGGAAAAAGCGAGTTTTTCACGCTTACGCCACCATTGCCGCATCCCCCCTGGCCCCGGGGATCCTATTTATGACGGTTGGAGCATCCGGGGGTCTGTGGGGTCCCTTTGTGGCAAGCGCTGGATGCCGGCGGGGAAGGCAGCTGCGCCACTCACTTAACGACTGTGGCAAGGAAGATCATGAAATGGGGCAAAACTCACTTAAAAGCTGTCCTGCTTAGCAATGGAAATTTTAACCTCAGTCGTGGTCGTAAGTCGAGGACCGTCTTGAGATTCATGAGCCCTGTGGATTTCGTTTTCCCAGTTCGGCCAAGAGTGGGCGATCTACTTGACCCGGATGGACGGCACCTACATCCAGAAGACGCTGGAGGAGCTGCTGCCTTTGTCTTTCGGGCCGGAGCACCTGAGCTGCTAGGTGGGAAGGTGGATGGCAGGGCAGCTGCTCGGCTTCTCCCCACCTCCAAGGGCCTCCGAGATCCCCTGAACGCCTGGTGGGGGCCCCCCCCCCAGCCTCTGGAGCCCACGGAGGCCTAAACCTCCCCTCAAAAGGGAGGCGGCTGCACCCTTTGGAGGCTGGCATTCCCAGCAGCTTCTCCCTGAGCAACCGGGATTGTTAGCGTCAGTTCAAAGGTCTCCAGAACTCTTTTTTAAAAATATATATATATACATTTTATTCATAAAAGTCCCTGCTGGGTCCTAGGCAGTTTTCCCAGAAAGTTCTGCCTGAATCTCAGGTGGGGGTGGGGGTGGTGGGGGGGCTGCCTTGAGACAAAACCCTTGGCTCTTTTATTCTGCCCTGCAAGGGGAGAGGTTGGGGGGGGGGCTGTACATTCGTAGCAAGGCAGAAGTTGCCACCTTACCTCTTAGAAAACCACTAGCCAGGATATTAGGGACCAGAATAGCTGGTTTATAAGAAAAAGCCCACAAACCACACGGCTGGCACACTCTGCAAGATACCCGTGTCATGAGGTGAAAAACAGGAGACATTTAGCTATTTAGCAATAACAAGCGTAAAGGGTTTAGGGAGCTGAAATCCAAATAGCCAATCAATATTATCTGTTAGGAATGCTTTATTAAGGGGAAGGGCAAAGGGTTGAAGGCGACCATCCCTTGACTATGAAAACGGCTGTAAGGATTTAATCTTGGCCCTGGGTTGCCTTTTCCAACCTGGATCCTTGGAACCAAAATAAAAGCATAATTCTGCATCACTCCCTGTGTCTGGGGACTTATTGGCTTTGACACCAAGCAAGAGCCCAGTTTTGGGGAGGTGTGTGTGCACACACAGCCTTCACCCCGCAGCAAATGAAGCACTCTTGGTGACAGGGAATGGGAAGTGTGTGTGTGTGTGTGTGATTTGCCCCGGGAGCAACACTTTCACAGCCTCTGCCACCCATGAGGCAGCCCCGTGGGGGGGGGGGGTCTCTTCCAATGATTAAATGCATCTCAACCTGAGGGTGGGGGGAGGTTTTTTGTTTTTTTCAGTTATGAAAATACTTCTGAGTTGCTGGGCTGTTCCGACTGTCATGA